GTTGTAGATTCCACGAAGCTCCTCAGCGTCACCATAGGCAACAAACTAAATTGGAAACCACACGTCAGTGAAGTTGTCAAATCCTCCAGTTTCCGTCTCCACCTCCTCCGCCGACTCAAGTCCCTCCGAGTTCCTGCACCCGAGCTCTCAGTGTTTACACAACATTCATACTTCCCAAGCTCACCTATGCCTCCCCTACCTGGTCTTCCTCCCTAAATGCCACACAACGTAAACACCTAGAAAAAGTGCAAAGAGGGCATGCAAGATTATTCTCTCCCCCTTCCTACTCCACATATCAAAGCGCTCAACACACTGACCCTTTCGACTCACTGACCATCACCACGACCTCATCTGCAAATTTGGTAAGAAGCTTCTACACCATCCTCGACACCAGCTCCTACTACCACCTGAGATCCCTAGCCCGAGAATTGCTGTTCGACACCACAACCGCATCCAGCCCATACGTGCACGAACTGATCGCTATAAGAACAGCCCAGTCCCAACCATTGTAAAAATTATCAATAACTTGTAATCAACCAGTGTATTCACTCCCAGTAAATACTACTTCTTGCATTGTCACTATGTTGAAATGAACTGTAGTTTGAGCTTTTCCCCATCTAGTTATTATACAGTATATCTTATTTGTATCACTTATGTTACTTGTATATTATTTGTAATTCGAAAACCAATCCCCAAATATGTAACTGTATATTTTCAGCCTTCTGGCTGCCAAGCTCTTTCAATAAACCGTTAATTATTATTATTATTATTATTATTATTATTATTATTATTATTACACACACACACTACTACAGCTACAGATTCCTCCCTGTTTCCCTTTCATACATTTAACGAACTTCATAAAGGTCCGTTATATCGAAGGTCCGTTAAATATGAAACCCCCATCTGACGTATTGTATGGAGATAGAAGTCCGTTATGTGGAAGTTATCACCTGATGGTAGACAGTACAGTACATACCGGACTACACCGAGCTAGCGGCCTCCAGAGACGTGAAGGTCTGGCCAAGTTAACGTTCTGTAGAGGCAGGAGGACGTGACCTACAACACAGTGTCGAGAAAACTTGTCAAAATCTTTCACCTTCAGTTCCAGAGTCCGACGAATGACTTCCTTGTACGGCAGCTGACGGAGAGATAACCCGAAGTACAGTATAGTTATGTTGTTTAGATAAAAGAAATAAGTAACATTATATTAAGGTTCAAATTTGTTACTTAAAATCCTTCTAAAGTAAAAGTTATATCATTATATTAAGGTTCAAACTCATTATTTCTACGGTATTTACCTCAAAGGAGAAAGTTTCCTCAAACACTGGCTCCTGGGTTTTCTTCTTCACTGTTGTCTGTCTCGAGTTTTTGTTGTCAGGAAGGAGTGAAACCTGTAACAAGTAGTATTGAAATGTTTAATATAATTCATGAAGATATTTGATGGATGTACACTTCACTCTAACCTAACCTAACACAAGCCTCCCTCATGAGATTTGAAATAAGTTCATGGCCATGCAAAGTAGGAACCATTATGCATTGTAGCCAAAGTTAATGAGAAAAACTTAAGATCAAATGTAGTCCAATATCTGCTGGTGAAAACACAACACTACAGTCAGTTCACTATAGACTGGCCACTATCTGCTACAGAACACAACACTACAGTCAGTTCACTATAGACTGGCCACCATCTGCTACAGAACACAACACTACAGTCAGTTCACTATAGACTGGTCGCTTCCACAACACTTGAGGCCTTATATCCATGTACAAAATATAACACAACTCCGTGTTCACCTTAACATAGGGGTTTGAGTGAGCCAAGTCGCTGCGGTCCTTACACGCTGGTCTTGGAATATCAACTGCTTCCAACACCTGCCCCCAAAAAATCGTTATTACATAATTAAACAAATAATAGCAACTATATTATGCATTTTTACAACTAAGCCATATATCGGTAACTGAAATATTCTTCAAAATGTTTTGTATTTTTTATGGTAAGAGGAAGAGTTGAGGAGGAAGAGAAGGGAAATGACAAAAGAAGGAGAACGATCGAGAGGTAAAAAGTGCTGTTACAAAGTATGTAAACCCACCGCAATCCTCACCCCCCCCCCTCCTCACTGATGTACACCCACCCTTAATAATCTTGTCCCTCCTCTCCCCATCTATGAACCCCGAGACTCGTGAATCAGGGACATGCCACAGTGGACCATCTATGAACCCAAAAATATATCATGTCTCTAATTCACTGTTTCATGAGTCTCGGGGTTCATGGACGGGAGAGAGAGAACTGACACGACTTGTTTTGGTTGAGTTTACACAAGAAAACACACACATTAATGGATAAACATGTCCTTCACAATGATCAGACTTTACTCGACTGATTTTAAGGCTCCTATCAGAAGCGTACAACGTTCAGCAACTTACCTTAACCAGAAGTACGGCAGCGGAAGCATCATAGTGGAGGGAAAAATGGATCCTTCCCAACAAGTCATCGTCAGGGCCATCTTCGAGCGAGGAGGAGGTCGAGGCGTACAGGTGGGGTCGGATCTGAAAACATTGTCTAGTGTTACACAGAGGAGGATAAACAAACTGTGAAGTAAAGCGGTTTATAGAGTACTGTACTGTGTGTAGTTAATGAAATATTCCTTTAGCACGACACATGGGTGGTGGTAGTGCACGACACATGGGTGGTGGTATTGCACGACACATGGGGTGGTGGTAGAGTGCACAAGCCATAGTGTGGTGGTAGTGCACGACACATGGGGTGGTGGTAGTGCACGACACATGGGTGGTGGTAGAGTGCACAAGCATTAGTGTGGTGGTAGTGCACGACACATGGGGTGGTGGTAGTGCACGACACATGGGTGGTGGTAGTGCACGACACATGGGTGGTGGTATTGGTGGTGGTGGTAGAGTGCACAAGCCATAGTGTGGTGGTAGTGCACGACACATGGGGTGGTGGTAGTGCACGACACATGGGTGGTGGTAGAGTGCACAAGCATTAGTGTGGTGGTAGTGCACGACACATGGGGTGGTGGTAGTGCACGACACATGGGTGGTGGTAGAGTGCACAACACATAGGGTGGTGATACAGTGCACGAGACGGTGGTGATACAGTGCACGAGACGGTGGTGGTACAGTGCACGAGACGGTGGTGATGCAGTGCACGAGACATGGCGTGGTGACACGGTGCACGAGACGGTGGTGATACAGTGCACGACATAGGGTAGTGGTACAGTGCACGAGACGGTGGTGATACAGTGCACGAGACATAGGGTAGTGGTACAGTGCACGAGACGGTGGTGATAAGTGCACAAGTGGGAAGTAAGGAAAAGTTCCATTATGAGTTGTTGTGTAAAGTTTCAGTTAGTTAAGACATTACCTAACTCGGTAGACCATTGGTAGATACGGTATACAACATTTAGGTGTACAGTGTATTCCCCAGTAATGACCAGTCAACGATATTCATTTTATTTCAAATCAAAGACTATTTTTCCCCTAAACCATATATCGTCCGGTAAAGAAAACATCTCATAATTCTAAAGAGTTTTAACCTACTCAAGACTTACCTTCGTTAGAGCTTCATAATCAACTGCTTTAGTAGACCATCGAGGAGACCTGGGAGCCACGGGTGACCTGGGAGGACCTGTGAGGCGAGGCTGCACACCTTCACCTCTCACACCTGACCAGAACTCTATGGGGCGCACATCTATGACTGGCAGCTGACGCGAAGACACCGAATTGGACCGTCGCAGCTCAATCTTTAATGAAAAATTACGATACACAACTCATACAAACAGTATGTAATTGACACAAGATTATGCAACCATTAATATACTGTAAAATACTCTCTAACTAGAACCTTGCAGAGTTTGGGGATTAGCCCAAAAGTTTTGCTAGTTACAGCAGTACGTCTGCTATACCGATCTTCAGTGTATCTTCTCACCTCTCTTGTATGGCGTCCCACAAGGCTCCATTCTCGGCCCAGTACTGTTAGTATTGCACATAAATGATATTATCCACGCCAGCACACTCCTATAGTATAATTTATTTGTAGCGGACAGTAATCTGCACTCCAGCCAGGTACAGTACATTCTCATCCTTTGATAAAAAAAACTTGAACAGTAAATTGACTCGAGTCAGGAACTGGATAATATTTACGAGTAATAAACTGACCTTAAACTCGCCACATAATATTTCACAGAAGGAAAGGTTTACCCCCAGATCTGGACCCCTTGTACAATGGTAGCACAGTCCTCAAACGTGAACACAATACTAAATTCTTTGAGGTTGTTTTTGATGATAAACTAAACTGGAGAAACTACATACAGACAAGCCATGAACACCAATACACCGGAGACCACCAAAAGAACTTCCAAAGACCAACTGGAACCAAATAATGACTAATGAAAGTGAAGGACATCTTTTTTTCTCTTTTGAACCCAATATTTTACACTAAATGCTCATTAATAAGTAAAACACAGGTATGAAGACTCACCTGGTGATAGATATCTGATTTTAGGTCCTTGACGGAAGAGACGGAAGAGGAGGGAGATGAGGAGTTAGACTGGTGACGGAGTAAGGACGTTGTGGACACTGACTCACTGTCGCTCAGGTCTCCATGCTGACGAAGGGATAATACCAAGGAGGTCGTGTCACTTGACGGCTCATCCGGTTTCTTTGTGAAGACAGAAAACTTAACATGAAGAGCAGGAAGAAAAGGAAGGAAACTCGAAGAAGAGAAGACATTACAGAAACACAATAAAAAGAGGAAGAAACAAGAATTAATACAATTAAATAGTAGAGGTAGAAATAAAAAAGTAAATTTGGATAAAAAACTGAAGTAGGAATATAATTAAGAAAACTGTAGAGGAAAATGACACGAGGTAATACCGGTGCAGAATATTAAACCTCGAGTGTGTTATATGGGGTATAAAACTACCTCTTGTCTTCACGAAAATAAAATAATAATCATAAATATCTGCACAAAATAAAACAAAAATAGTATTAAGTATAGAGAAGGATTTCGTTCAGTACAAACCTAACCTAACGTAGTACACTTCCAGGTTATGTTGTAGGTATTGTTCTAAAGATGGGGGGAAGATAGAGATGGGGGGAATGTAGAGCTGGAGGGGGGAGAAGATAAGAGAGATAATATTTGATAAAGAGAGGAATTATTATGGAGAAAATAGCATTATGTAACCGGGAAATATTTCATATAGTCATAAATACAGTAAATACAGTTTAAGTGTTGTGAGCAGATCATCTGTAGCTGTTGAGTGACGCAAGTGTGAGAGTGTTGAGTGAGGCAAGTGTGAGAGTGTTGAGTGAGGCAAGTGTGAGAGTGTTGAGTGAGGCAAGTGTGAGAGTGTTGAGTGAGGCAAGTGTGAGGGTGTTGAGTGAGGCTAGTGTGAGGGTGTTGAGTGACGCAAGTGTGAGAGTGTTGAGTGACGCAAGTGTGAGAGTGTTGAGTGACGCAAGTGTGAGGATGTAATAAGTTTTACCTGTAGGATATACTGGATGTCAGCCTTGCGGGTGTGTGAGGGCTCTTCTTCAGCACAGCAGCAGCAACAACAGCAGCAGCAGCAACTATGACCTTCACGCCAGCACAGCACAGCCTGTAGCGTGTCCCACAGCCATCCCAGACTCTCCTTCTGTCGTTCACAAAACACGTGGGTGAGTTACCGTACTGTACTGAACCCATTTTCCCTACAGGGTGTAAATATTACTTAAGAGTTTAATACCAGGACCTGCTCCCTCCACACTGTGTAGCAGTTCTGTTGTGTGTCAGTCTCCGTCGTCATCATAGAAACTGGTTCACGATTTTTCAACATTTCAATATTCTAGAAAAAATAAATGTTTCAATAACATATGGAGCCGTTCAATTAGCATTAAAACAACTGAAGTTTATGAGAAATAGGGATAACATTTTGTTCTCATTGTTATGTTTTAATAGAAATAACTTTATGAGAGATAATTTATTCTTCTTCACTTCAGATGTTGTTTATTATCACAATATAACTATTGGATATAATGACGTAACTACAGATGCTCCACGCGTTACCTTCTACCGTGTATAATATTCCTATTTAAGTTAAAACACTTCCCCCTGACTGGATACCCGCAAATTTCCGCCAAAAGTGATAATTTCGTTACGGAAATGAATGGAATCAGTGATGAACAGTGATGATGAACAGCGATGAAGAACAGTGTTTAAAGTCAGTGAAATAAACTATAACTGTTGCACCATGTGGGGTCCCTCATGACAACACCTGTGATCGAGTTACTACAGCACCATGTGGAGTCCCTCATGACAACACCTGTGATCGAGTTACTACAGCACCATGTGGAGTCCCTCATGACAACACCTGTGATCGAGTTACTACAGCACCATGTGGAGTCCCTCATGACAACACCTGTGATCGAGTTACTACAGCACCATGTGGAGTCCCTCATGACAACACCTGTGATCGAGTTACTACAGCACCATGTGGAGTCCCTCATGACAACACCTGTGATCGAGTTACTACAGCACCATGTGGAGTCCCTCATGACAACACCTGTGATCGAGTTACTACAGCACCATGTGGGGTCCCTCAACACCTGTGATCGTGATTACTACAGCACCATGTGGAGTCCCTCATGACAACACCTGTGATCGAGTTACTACAGCACCATGTGGAGTCCCTCATGACAACACCTGTGATCGTTACTACAGTGTGGAGTCTCATGACAACACCTGTGATCCAGCACCATGTGGAGTCCCCATCCCACCATGATCGATCGAGTTACTACAGCACCATGTGGGGTCCCTCATGACAACACCTGTGATCGAGTTACTACAGCACCATGTGGGTCCTCATGACAACACCTGTGATCGAGTTACTACAGCACCATGTGGAGTCCTCATGACAACACCTGTGACCTCCATGACAACACCTGTGATCGAGTTACTACAGCACCATGTGGGGTCCCTCATGACAACACCTGTGATCGAGTTACTACAGCACCATGTGGAGTCCCTCATGACAACACCTGTGATCGAGTTACTACAGCACCATGTGGAGTCCCTCATGACAACACCTGTGATCGAGTTACTACAGCACCATGTGGAGTCCTCATGACAACACCTGTGATCGAGTTACTACAGCACCATGTGGGGTCCCTCATGACAACACCTGTGATCGAGTTACTACAGCACCATGTGGAGTCCTTCATGACAACACCTGTGATCGAGTTACTACAGTGATCGAGTTACTACAGCACCATGTGGAGTCCCTCATGACAACACCTGTGATCGAGTTACTACAGCACCATGTGGAGTCCTTCATGACAACACCTGTGATCGAGTTACTACAGCACCATGTGGAGTCCCTCATGACAACACCTGTGATCGAGTTACTACAGCACCATGTGGAGTCCCTCATGACAACACCTGTGATCGAGTTACTACAGCACCATGTGGAGTCCCTTATGACAACACTTACTGGTGAAACAATCATGTCAGCCATGAAGAGTCGTTTGTTAGTTCATGAACAGTGTTTTTCCGCCAATCAGGATGTTGGTGTGCCGTGAACCTGCCTAGTGTCTCGTGTGATGGACCACAAGAGCAGCCGACCACAAGCTACAGTTAGTCTGTCATCTCCTGAGGGATTCTTACCTCACACTGAAGGCTGCTGCGTCACTGTACCAGAGTATCATCTGCAGTCCGTACTAAGTGTTCGTGAAGTTTAGTTGTGAGAGAATTGTGTTAATTCGTGCCACTAAACTTACAGTAGAGTGGAGTGGTGTCGTGTGTACGTCTTGACTCATTATCTACGTTCCTAACTTATCTAAGTGACGACCAGGGTTAAACTGAAGTGTATGGTCCGTGTGCTGTACCAAGATTCATAATCAAGAATTGTCGGGCTTATCTTTCATCCAGATTATTTATTATATTTCTTAAGCACCTAAATGAAGCCAAGGCCATTGTCTGGGTTATCAATACTCGCGACTAACCGTCATCTCAGTACAGCAACAGTCTAAACTCAACTGTAGAGTCTGATCTTGTTTCTTTATCAAGTGACGTACGCCCAAATTATTAAACAACATCTTCCCTCTCCGACGATGATTCTTCCTGAAGAGATTGTTCTTTCAAGCGGTATTTTTAAATGCTCCAACCTCTTCCTCTTCGTGTGGGATAAGGAGGGTAGGTCTGGTAATACTGTCCACTTCACGTCCCTTCACAAATACTAGTCTTAGTAATATTATTTATTATTTAAGTTATCTAAATCACACAACATTACAGCATAAAGTACATTAAGCTTATGTAGCTGTCCTGTAACACTCCTACACATAGCTGTCCTGTAACACTCCTACATATAGCTGTCCTGTAACACTCCTACATATAGCTCTCCTGTAACACTCCTACATATAGCTGTCCTGTAACACTCCTACATATAGCTGCCCTGTAACACTCCTACATATAGCTGTCCTGTAACACTCCTACATATAGCTGTCCTGTAACACTCCTACATATAGCTGCCCTGTAACACTCCTACATATAGCTGTCCTGTAACACTCCTACATATAGCTGTCCTGTAACACTCCTACATATAGCTGCCCTGTAACAGTCCTACATAATTATAATGAGTCATGTAGAGAAACTTATAAAAATCATTCACCTATTCAACTTCTGCTATAAAGACCAAATGTTGAACACGATTTGTTTTTGTTTTCCATTTCTTTCAGTCTGTTATTATGTGTTGATTATTGTGTCTTATGAGTAATATATAAGAGTCAGTGTTGATTATTGTGTCTTATGAGTAATATATAAGAGTTCGGTGTTGATTATTGTGTCTTATGAGTAATATATAAGAGTTCGGTGTTGATTATTGTGTCTTATGAGTAATATATAAGAGTTCAGTGTTGATTATTGTGTCTTATGAGTAATATATAAGAGTTCAGTGTTGATTATTGTGTCTTATGAGTAATATATAAGAGTTCAGTGTTGATTATTGTGTCTTATGAGTAATATATAAGAGTTCGGTGTTGATTATTGTGTCTTATGAGTAATATATAAGAGTTCAGTGTTGATTATTGTGTCTTATGAGTAATATATAAGAGTTCAGTGTTGATTATTGTGTCTTATGAGTAATATATAAGAGTTCAGTGTTGATTATTGTGTCTTATGAGTAATATATAAGAGTTCAGTGTTGATTATTGTGTCTTATGAGTAATATATAAGAGTTCAGTGTTGATTATTGTGTCTTATGAGTAATATATAAGAGTTCAGTGTTGATTATTGTGTCTTATGAGTAATATATAAGAGTTCGGTGTTGATTATTGTGTCTTATGAGTAATATATAAGAGTTCGGTGTTGATTATTGTGTCTTAGTAATGGTCACACTTGGTTCTATCTCGCTACCCACCTCAGAATCCTTCATAACCTGTTGCACATTCTCCTGTTTCCCCATCTTTTTATCACTGGCTTCTCGTCTCCTCGGCCATTATTGATCTATGTCGACGCGTGTTCATAAGTTCACTCTTACATTGTTCTGTCTCTCGCTAGTTTTCGTCACAGCAAAATAATCACAGTCACCTCTGTAAATTGACACATTTCCCGCAGCTCTTTCACTACCATATGTTGAGAGAAGCAGTGTTGCCAATGTAGGGTGATGAAAATTAGCTAGATTGGCCTAGAAAATCCGCTAGAAATCTGCTAAACACATTATTACACATTTAACCTACATAATATGCAAATGTTGTTAATAAGTAAATATGCAATTGTTGTTTAGTTCTTACCACTTAATTCAGCGAAAAAAAATGCAGTTCTCTGCCTGTTCAGTCTCTAAAGACACAGACACCGACTAAGAGCGTGGACCAGCTTCTGGTGCTTGTGATGTCGATGAACTGTATGCTGCCTTTGTGACTATTAGCTTTACCACTTGTCTTGACAGTTCATAATATGAATGGCAATATTTTCCAACTCTTCTGAGTCCACTGTTAACAGCAATAATCGTATTGACTGAATTTGTATTCAAACAATTTCTGATCTTTGACTTAACAGTATTTAGCTGGCTAAATAGTCTCTCGACCACAGTACAAGTACTGTATACAATGGTAAACAGAGCTGAACCAAGGATAGTCCCAGGGCGAACGGATCCTGGACGAATGTTCTTGTAACGAACGTGTATTAGACAGCAGAGAGACTGGGTTGGGTTGCTGATTACTCTGTATTCTATTTCCTTTAAATTCCCTTCTTTTTTCATTTCAGAGGAAGGACAGACTATATGTGTTGATGCTAATAACTAACGTGTATACGAAATCCACGAGAACTTCCACCAAATCCTGTTAAAATCCGCTAGAAAATCCGCAATCCGCAAGAGGGCTATACCTGGGGTCCACAACCTGTATACTGTACACTAGTCGGCCACTTAATGGTACAAGTAATCAGTGATCGGCCGCAGGTGTACTGAGCCGACATGTCAGCACTGTATTCCACAAAATTTTACGTAAGATCAGAAATGCAGGATTATATTTTATTGTCAGAATTTTTTTATAAACAACACCGATATTTAACACTAAACATAGCTGTCATTTTCAGCATATATATATATTCTGTATTGAAATAATAGGACTGGTCACTATCCTAGTTAAATATTATGTAAAGAAATTAGGGAACATAACTTTTAGCAATACAAAATATGGAATAATGAAACTGTCTTCGCGCAGTACAAAATAACGGTTTAAAAACGATTCTCACCCAAAATACAAAACATATAGGGGAAATTGTTTCATAAAGTGGCATTATAATATTCTGCAGTACTGTACAATACCCCCGCCCCCAGGTGATGTTATTATAAATGACAATAAAATGTCATGTGTGTGTCATATTCAGGTAATGTAAAGTTTGCTTTTTACATAGGAAATTAAGGACTTCAATTCAAAATACAAATACACAGAACAATACCAAAAGTAAGGGTTGAGCCTGAATATGATTTACAATTTCAGAAAAAGTTTGTTCTAGTGTGTTAGAGTAGGAGCCTTCAGTGGCGTGACTCCTTGTGAGTTTAGAACAACACTTGTTCTTCACAAAGGTAACCACACAATGTCTGCTCACAGCAGTCTGTTGATTCCCTGTTTTTTTATTTCCACACAAAATATTAGGAATAATAAGTTTTACCGGCCACATCGGCTGAAATTTAGACTTCACTCAGCCGGCCGCATATATACCGGAAAAATGGTGGTTGCAGACCCCTGGCCGAAACCATCCGCAGTGTGAGCAATCTGCTAGATTTAGCGGATTTTTCGCCAAGTTGGCAATACCTGACAGAAGGATGGCTAACACTTGAAGAAAGAACGGAGGCTGTTGGCTATAAGTTTGAAAGCAACGTTGAGATTGGTCTTCCCGGGGTGTGAGAGGAGGCGCTCCAGCTGATTGGTTGGCTGTATATAACGATCGACGGTGAGGGTTCCAGATGCCTTAAGGGGGAAAAAATTATCCAGGAAAGGATTTTGTTTATTATTTTTCCGGTGTTGTGTTGTATAGCTGTCAGCTAATTAGTTTGTTAGATAAGCTACATATTAATAACAAGTAGTAAGAGGTGAAACTTTTTTAGATATTTACGATTATTTGGTGTTATTTGTGTAAGGTCTGTTGCCGTAGTTCTTGTATGCCTGTTGCTCGACCTACCACACCTCTCTCTCTCTCTCTCTCTCTCTCTCTCTCTCTCATTCATTCCATTTCACATTTATCGCTTGTCTTCTTCTCTCTGTCTCTCTCCTCTTCTCTCCCCCATCTCACTCTCGTGTTACTCCTGTTTTGGGGTTTCTCTCTTCTTTCAACTCCTTGACTCTCTCTCTCTCTCTCTCTCTCTCTCTCTCTCTCTCTCTCTCTCTCTCTCTCTCTCTCTCTCTCTCTCTCTCTCTCTCTCTCTCTCTCTCTCTCTCTCTCTCTCTCTCTCTCATTCATTCCATTTCACATTTATCGCTTGTCTTCTTCTCTCTGTCTCTCTCCTCTTCTCTCCCCCATCTCACTCTCGTGTTACTCCTGTTTTGGGGTTTCTCTCTTCTTTCAACTCCTTGACTCTCTCTCTCTTTCTCTCTCTCTCTCTCTCTCTCTCTCTCTCTCTCTTTCTCTCTCTCTCTCTCTCTCTCTCTCTCTCTCTCTCTCTCTCTCTCTCTCTCTCTCTCTCTCTCTCTCTCTCTCTCTCTCTCTCTCATCCCTGCTCAATTTTGAATTATCTAAATTTTTCTGTCTTTCACAATGTCACACACACACACACACACACACACACACACACACACACACACACACACACACACACACACACACACACACACACACACACACACACACACACACACACACACACACACACATACACATACCGTCGTCTCGTCGTTAGTGAGGAAGGTGGTCATGTCGCCTTCTTTGATTACACTACAGTAGGCCTATTAAAAGTACACTACAGTAGGCCTATTAAAAGAACACTACAGTAGGCCTATTAAAAGTACACTACAGTAGGCCTATTAAAAGTACACTACAGTAGGCCTATTAAAAGTACATTACAGTAGGCCTATTAAAAGTACACTACAGTAGGCCTATTATTAGACCTTGTGAGGGAGCTCCTAACACACGTGCATCTACCTGCCAACATGCCAAAAGTTAATAATAGTGTTTGGTAACTCTCTCCACTCGACACAACCTCTGTTTCCCAACCAATCTGTTATCTAATTTAAAGCCATTTTAATATGTTTGTCCGTGGATTGATAGTTTCAGTTTCTTTAGTTAACGCAGTTGTAGGAATTCGTGGTATAATGTTGTCTAGCACTCAGGATGAATGGAAACTCTAAGGTGGTTTTCTTGTATAATATAAGTTATATGATAGACAGTCTGGTGCTGGAGGTGCCGTGTGGTGAGGAGCTGCTCAGTAGAGACGTTCGGTGAGTAGCGTGTTGAAGGAGGTAGATGTGCAGGAGCTTCGTTAGAGAAGATGTTGCCTGTTGCTGGCCTCCTGGTTGAATGAAAGCTGGACAGCGTGGAGCTTGCTGGAGGAGGTATTGCGTGTTCAGGAAGATGGGCCAGAATGAGAGCTGGTTGGTGAGGAAGCTCAGAGAAGGACAGCTGGTGGGTCGCCATGCTCGCTGGCGGGAGCGAGGACCGCCAGGCAGGCGGAGGAGAGGCAAGGGCCGCCAGGCAGTGGTGGAGGTGTTGCGTGTTATAGAAGTGAGGCCAGAATGAATCTCAATGGAGAGACACAGCTTATATACCCAGCAGCCGTGAGTCATCTATGAGTCATGTTGGGAAAACCCGAGAAAGTCGCCGGTCTTTGGCTCGGTTGCTAGGATACGGTAGCATCTGGTGACGCCGCTCGTTTGGTTGCTAGGGAAGGCGTCGCAGGTGGGATGCAGCTACGCAGTTTGTAGGGGAGACGTCCACTACACAGTCTTCCACTTGGTTCATCTCGCCCCGCAATACATGTCTCTCGAGAAAATGTAAATGCATTTATCTTTGTTTATTTCTCTATGGAAGATTCCTCAACCCAAGAGTTCACATCTTTCTCTCACTCCAGAACACAACTATTGTACGCTCCTAGATGTGTCCCCATAGCGTTACCCTTGTTACATACCTTGGTCTTCAAGTGCCCAACTTATCACCACAAAGTGTTTCACAATTGTTATGATAAAATCTAATTGAGTCTAACTGATAACTCTCAAAGGTTCTCACTGGGCCAGTCTCACGCAACAGTATGGACCCTGACCACTAGCAGTTATTGTGGCTAACCTGTGCCACCTTACCTGCAGGACACCCTTGGTCAGGTGAGTTATTTGATAAACATTTCACTATTTGTGTTAATGTTGTGTTGACGTTAATAATATATGAGAGTTGTATGTTTAGGTGTGCTGCACTGTATGTAGGAGATTAATGCCGCCTCAGATGTGATGTGAAGTGTTACTGTGCTTTATCAAGCCGAGTATCTGTTGTAGACTAAACAATACAGCTCTTCACTGAACAAGGGCGGCATCTGGTGCTAGAGGCCAGTCTCCAGCGTGTGAAACACTTACTGAACTCACCCCCCCCCACTTAAACCCATTATTATGTCTGTTTCTTAATCATTATTATAAGTTAAAGATTAAAATATTGATTATATATGTGTCGACATCATCCAGGTCTCCTACTGGTGAGGGTTGTGGAACCTTGATCTTGTTGGCTCTTGATGTTGTCTCATCTCTGTCACGGTAGACGAGTTGTACCTGTGTCTGCCACCAGTTGTTATTCTGGCTAGTATATATATGTTCTTTTATCCCTTGTTAATTAATTGGTTCAATGATATTAAAAATGTTAAGTTTTATGATTAAGTTCTTGTTTTTGTTTTATTTTACGATTACACCTACAGAAGAACTACAAGAGAACTACAGCAGAATTACAGGAGAACTTCAGGAGAACTACAGAAGGACTACAGGAACCTACAGAAGCACACAATGGGTGACACGGCTGCCTCCTTCAGCGTATCTGATTATCTAGTGTTCACAGCCTCCCTCGCCATCTCTTTTGGAATAGGTTCGTATCTCACTTGTTTTGTCATCTCTTGTGTTTTATTTTAGTATTCGCTGTTTTTTGTCTTGATATCATGTTTATTAGTATTTACTTGGGTGGGTGATAACAATAAATTAGTATATATATTTTTTTTTTCAAGTTTGTGGATTTCCTAATAATGTAAATTTGCAACATTTCAAACCACTTGTAAGATAATCAGAAATATTTAAAAAAAAATCCCGAGTTCTTATAAATATTGAGGATGAAGGAGTCAATACATATAGACTGTAGGCAATGGTCTTTGTACTCCCCGGGGTGACTACACTCTACAGCTTACTACTTGTTATACGAGTTATTATTGTGTTTGCAGGAGTTTACCAGTGGTGGAGGAGTCGAGGGCGAGGTACTGACGACTTTCTGATGGGGGGCGGCAAGATGTCACCCTTCCCTGTCGCTCTGTCTCTCCTGGCTGGCATTGTATCAGCTATATCTATCCTAGGTTATCTCTCCTGAAAACCCGAACCTGTTTGTCTTTTATCTTGTTAGTTATAAACAGTTTAGTCTCTCGTGTTTTGGTTTGTTTCTTGTCTTGGTATAATCGATGGGGGGGGGGGGGGCAAGTGGTGAGGTGTTGGCCAGCACTAGTTTTCTGATGGTAAGAAATTATTGCTTTTGTTGATTACTGCTTTTGTTAATGTTAATGATAAAAGATCAGGTTTGTTCCTACTATGCCTTAGGTTAAAATGACTTATTCCCTTCACCTCAGAGTAAATAAGTTGTAATTATAATTCAGTATAGAGTTTGATCGTGCTAAAAGACTCACGATGAAGAGGAACATAACATTCTTTACTGTGTTCTAAAGCTTCTGGTGTTTAAGTATAGGAATGTTTATAACATCCAAAATGTATTATATATATAGCCAATGTGTAACCTGGGGAGTGGTGGCTGGGTGGATACTGTGTTAAGGGTCGCCGGCTCGTTCTTGGGGCACCAATCGACCAAGCTGTGAATGGGTACCCAACACTACACTATGGGAAATGAAGGCGGACGAGTACAGTGTCGGCCACCCAGCCTGTGTACGGGGCCCATTGTCAGTAAGTGGTAAACGAAAGTTATCTCAGCCGTGACTGATCTTACAGGTAACTCTTCCGAGATGTATTACTACGGGTCTCAGTTATGGATGAATGTGTTCGGGGTGATGCTAGGAGCGACCCTCACTGCCCTCCTCATCATGCCTATCATATACCCTCTTAAGCTCATCAGTATATACCAGGTCAGTCATCGTCATGGTTAGTAGGCTATAGTAAGAGTTACTTTAATACATACAGATCACCTCTCTTATAGCCACGAAGTTCTACATGAATTAAATATATTTTGTAATAAATAAAATATCTTCAAGACAAGATAGGAAAGTATTGCAGCATATTTTACTGATAATGTGATTGGAAGAATAACGATAATAATATTCTCATTAAACTCTATGGTGAAGATAGTCTTCCTCTATAATACATTTGCCAATTTATTTAAAAAAGCAAAATACATGTCTTCAAGATTCTGGAGGTGCGATGGAAGTCACCCCTACTGAGGAAGCTGGTGACTGTGACACAGGTGGGGAACATCTTCATCTTCTTGGGTATAGCCATGTACGCACCGTCCCTGGCTATCTCCTCCATAACACCCATCCCGACCAACGTGTCAATCATCGTGCTGGCCGTCATCTGTTCCCTCTATGCTTCCCTGGTAAGTATTCCTCTATAATCATTACTACAGGAGGTATGTCCTAACTTGTGTTGGCTATAATTTATAAAACTATCTTTGCACCTCACTACCGGGCTCTAGCTGTCCCCTTTTTCTTTGATGCTCCTGTGTGGACATTTCTTAACGGCAGCGGATACTAACCTAAACTTACCTGTTCTCTAATAAATCTTAAGAGGAACCAATGTTTATTATGTTTACTTTAAACTACGGATATGTTATAGTTATTACAAAATGTTAATGTGACGTGACAGGGTGGAGCCAAAGCCGTGGTGTACACCGACACCTTCCAGACGTTTGTAATGTTCGCTGGAGTCATCGTGGTCATCATCCAGGGCTGTGCTGAGGTCGGCGGCGGTACAAACTCCTGGAACATTGATGACCAACACGGACGTATCGAATTCTTTAAGTAAGATAATAATAGTAAGCATTGTAGTGTTAGGTACATCAATAACCATCAATAACTTGTACCAGTATTACCACACCAATCTCGGCCACTTCCCACAAATGGCAGGAGGGGAGGGAGGGGGGTTGTCATTTTATATCCCAAACACTACACCTTTAGTGATATATAATCATGTGTTTTATTTCTTCTTCAGCATGGATCCTAGTCCACTTGAGCGCCACACCTTCATGACCACACTAATCCTAGGCACATACTTTGGCCTTAACACTTATGGTTCATCTCAAGTACAGTTCCAGCGTTGGGGATCAGTCGGCACCTTGAGGGAGTCTTATATGTGAGTCTTATTTTTCCTTTTCTTTTTAGATTTCTTTATATTATTTCTGTTTAGTCTACATGTCAGAGCTTCACGCACACTGACGCAATATTTAATCATAGTTATTCTCCAACTGGCACTGATTGATTCGTTATTCGCGTTACTTAAGAGAGAGAAGAAAAATAACTAAAATTCGAGTAATTGTGATTGCCGTGAGACCAAGTACAGTTTTCTCCCAGCTGACAAGTCGAAAAGTTCAGCCCTTTAACCCCGCCCGCTGCCCACCTCACACAAGCATATCCTCCGCTGTTTCCATAATCAGCTGTCAAGTCTTCATAAAATATTTATCTGTTATATTTACGATGTTTCACTTAGTCAAACACATACAGTACACTCGTTTATGTGTAATGTTTAGACTAAGAAATACAATATTTATATATATATAAATCTTTCAGCGGGGAGATGGTATGTAAAGTAACCACCAAACAAACACATGTGATTTGTTTATAAATGAATACCCCACATATGTATACTGATCAGACAACAAGAACTCAAAATATACATGCGACTCATTCAAGTATACATCAGCACGTTAATACTTCATTATACAAAGCCTTCTATGAATACAATGATGCACCTTAGCCGTTAGATCTTGTTATATCAGAGAGAATTTTTTAAACATAATACTACTCATTACTATGTGTGTGTGTGTGTGTTAATTTTTCTCCCAGGGTGATGGTCGCCAGCGTGGTGTGTCTGGTGGTCATGTGGTCGCTTATCAACTACGCCGGGTTGGTCGTCTTCTCCGTCTACGCTGACTGTGACCCTCTGACAGCTGGCTACATTGAGAAGCCAGATCAGGTTTGTTTGTTATGCTTTACACTTTATTCCCCGTGGTTCATGTGTAAGATGGTCTAGTGTGATGAGAAGCGTTTGTTTACACTTTATTCCCCGTGGTTCATGTGTAAGATGGTCTAGTGTGATGAGAAGCGTTTGTTTACACTTTATTCCCCGTGGTTCATGTGTAAGATGGTCTAGTGTGATGAGAAGCGTTTGTTTACACTTTATTCCCCGTGGTTCATGTGTAAGATGGTCTAGTGTGATGAGAAGCGTTTGTTTACACTTTATTCCCCGTGGTTCATGTGTAAGATGGTCTAGTGTGATGAGAAGCGTTTGTTTACACTTTATTCCCCGTGGTTCATGTGTAAGATGGTCTAGTGTGATGAGAAGCGTTTGTTTACACTTTATTCCCCATGGTTCATGTGTAAGATGGTCTAGTGTGATGAGAAGCGTTTGTTTACACTTTATTCCCCGTGGTTCATGTGTAAGATGGTCTAGTGTGATGAGAAGCGTTTGTTTACACTTTATTCCCTGTGGTTCATGTGTAAGATGGTCTAGTGTGATGAGAAGCGTTTGTTTACACTTTATTCCCCATGGTTCATGTGTAAGATGGTCTAGTGTGATGAGAAGCGTTTGTTTACACCAACTGTTTGTCTAAATCAAAATTAAATGAAATGAAACCAAAAAGGTGGTAGAAGTATAAATGGAAGATATAATGACTGGTAATGTGGTAAATATAAGTATAATGAGATATTTTAGAGACGAGTATTACTGGGAGGTGAGGTGAGGGTAGGTGAGGTGAGGTGAAATGGGCGATGAACGAGAAACCAACGAAAAGTTATGTGTTAGGATAGATTCTGTGTCTATGAACATGTTAGGAGGACTGTCTTGATATATGTGTGAGTGTGTGTGTGGGAGCTTGGACACATCAATACACGCTTATAATCACTTGTAATATTTTAACACTCACTAACCTAACCAAACCTAACCTAACCAAACCTATCACTCAAACAAAACCTTTTCTCAACTGATTACCATAGATATATATAAGATATCTCTACTGTTATATTATGATGTTATTGGACTTTGTTTTTATAAAGTTATAGGATAGTAAAGAACTTATACAGCTTCAATAATGCTAAAAGACTTATTGCTTGTATTTTATTATGCCAGATTTACAGATGTTAATTATGCCCGATTTACAGATGTTATTTATGCCGGACTTACAGATGTTATTTATGCCAGACTTACAGATGTTATTTATGCCAGACTTATAGATGTTATTTATGCCAGATTTACAGATGTTATTTATGCCGGACTTACAGATGTTATTTATGCCAGACTTACAGATGTTATTTATGCCAGACTTACAGATGTTATTTATGCCAGATTTACAGATGTTATTTATGCCAGACTTATAGATGTTATTTATGCCAGACTTACAGATGTTATTTATGCCAGACTTACAGATGTTATTTATGCCAGACTTACAGATGTTATTTATGCCAGATTTACAGATGTTATTTATGCCAGACTTATAGATGTTATTTATGCCAGACTTACAGATGTTATTTATGCCAGACTTACAGATGTTATTTATGCCAGACTTACAGATGTTATTCTTCCAGATTCTTGTGTATTTCGTAGTAGACAAACTTGGTTACCTGCCGGGGGTACCTGGTCTGTTTGTGGCTGCCGTCTACAGTGGAGTGCTCAGGTCAGGTGCTGTACAGGTGTCTTGTTCTTCAGGTCAGGTGTTATACAGGTGTCTTGTTCTTCAGGTCAGGTGTTATACAGGTGTCTTGTTCTTCAGGTCAGGTGTTATACAGGTGTCTTGTTCTTCAGGTCAGGTGTTATACAGGTGTCTTGTTCTTCAGGTCAGGTGTTATACAGGTGTCTTGTTCTTCAGATCAGGTGTTATACAGGTGTCTTGTTCTTCAGATCAGGTGTTATACAGGTGTCTTTTTCTTCAGATCAGGCGTTATACAGGTGTCTTGTTCTTCATGTCAGGTGTTAACAGGTGTTATATCTCGTGTCGGAATATGTACAGTCGCCTGCACTTATACCTGATACAGTGACTGGTGTTTTCTATGAGATGTGGCATAACTGTGTTTGTTTACATCGTATTAAAACTCCCAGAATGGCCCTGAAGGAACTTCACAATAGTAGCCAGATTAAGGATGCTATATAAACATTCCACAGTGTTGCCACATCTCACAAAACACACCAGACTCTGTACCAGGTGTAAATGCAGGCGACCTCACCCTCTGTCATGGGCGCCTGTGGTTCATCACCGCAAGAGAAGCAGAGGGGGAGGGTATTAGGTCAAATAAGACAGAATACATTTATTTTAATATATTAAGAGAGTTGAAATCGATTCTCTAACAAGTGATGTTTGTTTTAATATTACTGAACAATATTCAGTTTTAATTCTTCTATGTTTACTTGTGGTGTGTGTTGTGGAGTAGAACTTGTCCTCCACTTCACCAAGAGGCGGACTGGATAAGCTTGGGACACATACTGTTAACTGCCTATAGTTTGTTGTTGTAACTCAGTCTCGTCAAAACAATGTTGAGTCGGAGGTCATGTTAGGTCAGTAGAAGACTATATCATCCCACTTTCCCGGTCATGAGCATAATGTTACTTGTATCTATTGTTAACAGTTCTGTTTCATCATCACTTAACGCCATTGCTGCAATGATCTGGACAGACCTCCTGCAGCCCACCAAAAGGTTTGCTAATACCAGTGAAGCGAAGGCCAAGAACATTACCGTTGCTATTTGTAAGTTACCCCACTAAGTAATGTTTCATCCATATTTATAACACTTTTGTTTCTTTATTCACCGATTTATCTTTTTTTATTACTACTGAACTTTTGTTAATAAGAATTTGTTCACTTGCAACAAGAAAAATTTCCCTTTAGGAAACTTCAGAAGACTTAAGTTAAACGTTCAGATACAAACAGTGATATTGTTATGTTATTTATATTTATCATTTGCTATGATGGTCGAGCGTTAGTACAGGAGGAAGCTTTAGTAACCTGGAGAAAAACTGTGATGTTTGGTAGTGAGGACCACACTGGATAACACCCTACTCACGTGTGTCTGGGCCGACCAGGATTCGAACCCATAACATATGAGTGAGAGACATTGTTGTCGCATCACCAAAATTTCTGTCAACTCAGCTGTGTGTTATACTGATATACAACCACATAACCATCACCTGACGACAGATCTATTGTGTCCATCATCACCTGACGACAGATCTATTGTTTCCACCATCACCTGACGACAGATCTATTGTGTCCACCATCACCTGACGACAGATCTACTGTGTCCACCATCACCTGACGACAGATCTATTGTGTCCACCATCACCTGACGACAGATCTGTGTTTCCACCATCGCACGGCGACCAGTCTATTGTCCACCATCACCTGACGACAGATCCTGCTGTGTCCACCATCACCTGACGACAGATCTGTTGTGTCACCATCACGACGACAGATCTGTTAATCCATCGCCTGACGACAGATCTGTTAATGTCACCATCACCTGACGACCAGATCTGTTAACAGTATTCCATCATCACCTGACGACAGATCTATTGTGTCCACCATCCGCCTGACGACCAGATCTGTTGTGTCCATCATCACCTGACGGCACCAGATCTGTTGTGTCCTGCATCACCCGGCGACATATCTGTATTGTCACCATCCACCTGGCGACAGATCTCTGGTAATCACCATCACCTGACGACAGATCTGTATTGTCCATCATCCACCTGACGACAGATCTGTTATTGTCCACCATCGCGACGTGATCTGTGTCCACCGTCACACGACGACAGATCTGTGTGTCCACCGTCACCTGACGACATATCTGGTGTGTCCACCATCTTTGACGACAGATCTGCCTGTCCACCATCACCTGACGACAGATCTGTGTGTCCATCATCACCTGACGACAGATCTATTGTCCATCATCTTACGGCGAAGCAGATCTATTGTGGCTCTGCATCACCTGACGAGCAGATCTACTGTCACCATCACCCTGACGACAGTCTGTTATTGTCCATCATCCACCTGACGACAGATCTGTTGTGTCCACCATCCGCCTGACGACAGATCTGTGTGTCACCATCTACCTGACGACAGATCCTGGTAATCACCATCACCTGACGACGAGATCTCTTGTGTCCACCATCCGCGGCAGCAGATCCACTGGTATCCTGCATCACCTGACGACAGATCTGCATATCTGTCACCCTGGCAACCAGATCTATTTATTGTCCACCATCACCTGAAGCGACAGATCTATTGTCCACCCATCACCTGACGACTTCGTATCCTGGTGTTATTCCACCATCCACCTGACGACAGATCTGCTGGTAGTCCACCCACATCTGCACCTGACGACAGATCTGGTAGTGTCTGTCGCCTGACGACAGATCTGCTGTCACCATCTCACCTGACGACCGGATCTGCGCAAAGCAATCACCGTCACCTGACGTGATGATCTATTTGTGCCATCATCACCTGACGACAGATCTGTTGTGTCCTGCATCACCTGACGACTTAAGATCTGTTGTAGCCACCGTCACCTGACGACAGATCTGCTGTGTCCACCATCACCTGACGACAGATCTGCCCTTCACACCATCACCTGGCGACAGATCTGTTGTCACCGCTCCTGACGACGAATCTCCTGCGTAATCCCCTGTCACCTGACGACGAATCTGTATGCATCATCACCTGACGACAGATCCTGGTGTTAATCACCATCACTGCCTGACGCGACAACAGTCTATTGTGTCCACCATCACCCTGACGACGAATCTAGTGTGTCCCTGCCATCACCTGACGACAGATCTGGTAATCCTGCATCACCTGACGACAGATCTGCACAGCAATCCCCACCATCACCTGGCGACAGATCTGTTATTGTCACCATCTCTTTGACGACAGATCTGTTGTGTGTGTCCACCATCACCTGACGACAGATCCTGGTGTGTCACCATCCACCTGACGGAAACAGATCTAATTGTATCCGCATCATCACTGACAACAGATCTGTGGTCATCATCACCTGACGACAGATCTGGTATTGTCACCATCACCTGACGACAGATCCTGTTGTCCCATCCATCATCACCTGACGACGAATCCTGTGTATCCCACCATCGCCTGAAAACCAGGTCTGTTTGTCACCATCACCTGACGACAGATCCTGTTGTCCACCATCCTGGCAACCAGATCTGTTGTGTCCCTACCATCACCTGACGACAGATCTGTTATCCACCATCTGCTGACGCGACAAGATCTATTATTATCCCATCATCCACACCTGACAACAGATCTGTTGTCACCATCTTACGACGACAGATCCTGTTGGCTGTCCCGCATCATCACCTGACGACAGATCTGCTGTGTCCACCATCACCGACGACGAATCTGTTATTGTCCACCATCACCTGTTAGCGACAGATCCTGTTGTGTCCACCATCACCTGACGACAGATCTGTTGTGTCAGCCATCCGCCTGACGACAGATCTGTTGTGTCCATCATCACCCTGACGACAGGTCCATGTGTCACCATCACCTGACAACGGATCTGTTGTCCACCGTCACCTGGCGACCAGATCTGTTGTATTCCACCATCACCTGACGACAGATCTATTGTCACCATCACCTGACGACAGATCTGGCTTATTGTCACCGTCACCTGACGACAGATCTGTTGTGTCCCATCATCACCTGACAACAGTCTATTGTGTCATCACTGACGACAGATCTACTGGTAATCCCACCGTTACCACGACGACAGATCTGCAATCACCATCACCTGACGACAGATCTATTGACGTCACCACCATCACCTGACGACAGATCTGTTGTGTCCGCTCATCTACCTGACAAGCAGATCTATTGTGTCTCACCATCACTAAGCGGCAAATCTGTTGTATCCGCATCATCCACACAACAAGCGAATTCCGCGTGTCACATCACCTGACGACAGATCTATTGCCCGTCCACCATCACCTGACGACAAGTCTGTTATTATTCATCATCACCTGACAACAGATCTGTTATTTGTCCACCATCACTGACGACAACAGATCTGTTGTCCCACCATCACCTGACGACAGATCCTGTGTGTCCCATCACCTGACAACAGATCTACTGTGTCCATCTGTCACCTGACGACAGATCCTGTTGTGTCCATCATCACCTGGTGACAGATCTGTTATTGTCCATCATCACCCTGACGACAAGTCTACTGTAGCAATCCCACCATCACCTGACGACAGATCTGTTATCCATCATCACTGACGACAGATCTATTGTGTCCATCATCACCTGACGACAGATCTGCAATCACCATCACCCTGATGAGCAGATCTGGCCGTGTCCATCATCACCTGACGACAAAGTCTGTTGTGTCCACCATCACCTGACGTCTGTTATGTCCATCATCACCCGATAACCAGATCTGACCCAGCAGTCACCATCACCTGACGACAGATCTGTTATTGTCCATCATCACCTGACGACAGATCTGTTATTGTCCATCATCACCTGACGACAGTCTGCACTGTGTCCACCATCACCTGACGACAGATCTGTGTGTCCATCATCACCTGACGACAAGATCTATTGTGTCCTATCACCTGACGACAAGATCTGCTGGTAATCCATCATCACCTGACGACAGATCTGTTGTCCATCATCACCTGACGACAGATCCTGTTGTGTCCACCATCACCTGACGACAGATCTACCATTGTCCATCCATCATGACGACCAGATCTGGTAATCCATCATCTACTTACAACGAGCAGATCTGTTAGTCGCATCATCACCTGACAACCAGATCTATTGTGTCCATCATCGCAGCGACAGATCTACTGTGTCCATCATCACCTGACGACAGATCTGGTGACACCATCCTTTGACGACAGATCTATTGTGTCCACCATCTGCCTGACGACAGATCTGTGTCCTACCATCACCTGACGACAGATCTACTGTATCCACCATCACCACGAGCGAACAGATCTACTGTGTCACCATCACCTGACGACAGATCTGTTGTGTCACCATCACCTGACAGCGGTAGATCTGCTGTTGTGTCCATCATCACCTGACGACAGATCTGTGCCACCATCACTGACGACAGATTTACTGTGTTGTCCACCATCACTGACGACGAATCCTATTGTCACCATCACTGACAGACAGATCTTTATTATTGTCCACCTCACCTGACGACAGATCTACCCTTGCCACCATCACACGACGACAAGATCTGGGCCATTGTCACCATCCACCTGACGACAGATCTGGTAGTAATCCCACCATCAGCCTTTTGACGAGATCTATTGTGTCCACCATCACCTGACGACAGATCTACTGTGTCCATCATCACCTGACGACAGATCTATTGTGTCCACCATCACCTGACGACAGATCTGTCAGGTGTTGAGTTACTTTACCAGGAATATTGGTTATCGTAATAATTTCTGTTTTTGATAATTAATCGGAATATTTACGATTACAAAACGCTCTAAGTGTATAATGACTTTTCTTTTCCGGATAATAAACAAGTTCCTTTTTTTTTTTTTTACAGCCATGGTGTCCGGTATTGGAGCTATGGTTATCGGGATTCTCGCCGGCTCAATGGGTGGGCTGGTGCAAGTGAGTTATGCCATTAGTGGTGCTATTGCTGGACCAATCGCAGGCCTCGTCCTCACAGCCATCTTGTGCCCCTGGGTCAAGTCTTTGGTAGGTCGATTTGTATCCTCAGCAGTACGGATTGATTTAAGGTGTTAACATATTAACTTAACAATAATCATGTCTCTCATTAGTGAATATATATTTTTTTCCTGATAATGTTCTTCTCGCGACAGAGTGCGACACTGGGTATGTTGTGTGGTCTTCTTTTCAATATGTGGATTGTTGTGGGAAACTTCCTGTATGCTCCACCACCTACAAAGTTGCCCTTGTCAACTGAAGGTTGTCCAGACGCTAACTTTACCACCACAGCCGCTGAAGCTACAACCTTCTTACCACTGACTACTACATCTGTTGACCCACACCATGACTCGTATGTATTATGCGCTTATACACAGTACATCTATACCTTACTAGTCAGGAATCGAACTCAAAACCACTGCATGGGAACAGGGAACGTTACCACTGCGCCACGAAGACTACAAAAGGCTTTGTTTAACACACAAAGTCTGTTTCTTCCTCTAAGAAGCAACGGGAACTTCATTGAGTCACGTCTGTGGTTTTGTAGATATATTTTATGGACTCCAGTTAGAAAGCGAGAAGCAAATAATAGCTTCTCTTAAGTCCTAATGCACCTCAGACCTCAGTATGTCATAAGAACATAAGAATGGAGGAAACTGCAGCGGGCCTACTGGCTCATACTGGACAGTCCCATTTACACCCAACCCCGATTGCTCATATATCCATCCAACCTATGTTTGAAGTTCGCTCCTGGTTGGATAGTTTGAGTACCTTTGTTATATCACCTTTGTTTAGCCCTGACTTCCATTTATACACCTCGATCATATCGCCCCTCAATTTACGTCTCTCGACAGAGTGCAAATTAAGATGCTTTAACCTGTCTCTGTACTCAAGTTTCCTAATGCCGAGGATTAGTCTTGTCATTCTCCTCTAAATTCTTTCTAGGGATTTTATATCCATTCCCATTCTATAGTACGGTGACTAGATTTGAACTGCGTAATCCAAGTGAGGTCTCACAAGCGCAATATAAAGTCTTAGATGACCTCGGTAGTGTTGTAACGAACATGCCTTTGTATGAATCCAAGTACTTTGTTAGCCCTGTTTCGAGCAAATACACATTGTTTACTTGGCTCAAGGTTCCTACTTATCATTACTCCTAAATCTTTCTCGCAGTCGGATTTCTCAATAACATCGTTGTTCATCTGGTATCTGGTTTCCCTGTTTACATCTCCTATACTGAGTACTTTACATTTGTCCACATTAAATTTCATCTGCCATTTTTCAGACCATTCGAAAAATTTTTTTAGATCTTCCTGTAGTTTTGCGGAGTCCTCGTCAGATTTAATTACACGCCCTATTTTAGTGTCATCAGCAAATTTACTTATGTTGCTGTCTACGCCGATATCTATGTCGTTTACGTATATAATAAATAATAATGGTCCAAGTACTGAGCCTTGGGGTAATCCACTAGTGAAGTTACTCCAATCGGATTTAGTGCCGTTAATGCTCACTCCCTGTTTCCTGTCCTGTAACCACGCCCTAATCCATTTTAAAATATCTCCTCCAATGCCACGAGCCTCCACTTTTCGCATTAGTCTTTCGTGGGGGACTCTGTCGAAGGCTTTGCTAAAGTGACGTCATGTCTGCTAAAAATTGTGTAGAAGAGCCACCATAACCATCACACCAAACTGGCTCTACGCTCTGACTGTTATTTACTCTATGGAATGAATTAGAATATTACATTAATATGTAAGAAATTATGAGATTGTGGATATATGAATTAAAGGCTAGCTGAAGCCCTCATTATGGCCCGTATAGGACATAAGGCACTCTAGTCGTGGTTCAGGGTATGGTTGTCATGTTTATTTTATTTTTCTTTATCAATCAGTCAGTCAGTGAAGGTAAACTCACTCAAAAAAGTATCTTTACGATTTTGTGTGGTACAATATGACACAACAGACGAAGGATTCTGACAACCCTCCCGAGACAACAGGAGTGACAGTGTTCATTGAGACATTGATCGATCACCCTCCGTGAAGATACTTATTGGGTCCTTTGTTTCAGGGGACTACAAATGTTGATCCACTTACCTATACTACCAGTGTACGTCTTCCCCTGGGCCTCCTACACCTAGTTTCACCCATAAATATCTCTTCCATTATCCCCAGTTATATGACCATACTATCTCATTTGTTTTCTTCTTTTATGATTTTTTTAGTATTTATCTTGTTGCTGTGGCCAGTTGTAGTGATCCTCTTGCTTATGGTATACGACACTCGCTCGCTGACCAGGGTTCCATCTCTCCTGCAGGTCAGATGTGTTCCCACTTTATCTCCTCTCCTATTGCCTCTTTGGTGCCATAGGCTTACTCACATCCCTGGTCATGTCTACAGTCTTCTCTTGTTTCTTCGGTAAGTTTACTGCACTATTTATCCGCCTATGTATACTGACTACACTCTTGACGTGTGTGTCAGTCTTCTCACTCGGCAGTACAGTGTAAAGATTCTCAATATGGGAACTCCATCATAGTCACTGCAGCAAATTAATATCCCACCACTATTTATTTTGTCTAACTCTTCTGGGTAACATGTATCTATAAACACCTGAATAACAACTGCAGTATTAAGTGATGTCTGTTCAGGTACTATATGAGGTGGTTAATGCTGTTGATGATGATACACGGTTAAGTAAGAGATTCTTTAGTGGAAAAATGTGAATTAATACGTATACTTGATTGTTGTGTCAGGTTTCACTCAGCTGTCGGATGTCCCAGAGAAGGCAGTGAACAAAACTTGCCTTCGGTTCTTCCACTGGCTAAAACCTGAGAAACCATATCTACTCTGAGAAGGAAACGCCCATGATATAACGAAGTGGGAAACATCACAGTAGCAACAAGGACCCACCGTGTTTGGCGACTCACCGTGTTTGGCTACCCACCGTGTTTGGCGACCCACCGTGTTTGGCGACCCACCGTGCTTGGCGACCCACCGTGCTTGGCGACCCACCGTGTTTGGCTACCCACCGTGTTTGGCGACCCACCCTGTTTGGCTACCCACCAACATGTAATAGTTTGTATCTCCACAAGTGTGGCGGACAACACAAAATGCACAAGTAAGTATATGTTCTCTTCAGAGTAAGGCTTATAAGTGCCTGTATAGGTTTGTAAATTTAACATTGTAACAGAAGCTTCAGGTGTAACCAACTTATAACTGTAATAGATAAAGACATTAAGTTGTAAGGACCATTATTGTCAACACTCCTCGCACCACAGCTGCTGAGGTTATACTGTAGTCTTACCTCAACTGATCACGACACGTCCACCCCAGTAGACTGGTTGGACGTTTCACTAATTTCTGATAAATCTAACACAACTAATGATAATTTTAACTGCTTGTCAAGAAATATTGATCTTAGACAAACAAATGACCGTTGAATGACAGAGAGCTGGCAGTAGAACTCTATATAATTTACTACTGTTTCTAAGACTTGGATGTTGGCAATGACGTAGAAAAAGAGTTAAGTGATAAAAACCTAGGAGGGTGTGTAAACCCTGACAAAAATGACGGTAAAACAATAGTATAGAAGAGGAAGCTCTTAGGTACGTTGGTGGCTGTATTGTAAGAAGGTATTGTGTGAAATACCCTCACTTAGGACAAAAAGTCACTGAGTGCACATCCATGACCAAACATGGACAGAAGAAATAAACAGAGGTGAACTGTATGTTCCTTCTGACACTCTATTAACCATTATGAGAGACGTATTTAAGGCTGTACATGGGAACAGTCTTATGGAGGGAAAAGACTGTTTCAAAACAATTATGTCTGAGATAGAGAGTTGATGTAGTACCCCATGATGTCTTATCCTTCTTTGACAAACTATCTGTGTTCCTTAAACTGAACAGTAGTATTAAGTTAGATTTGCGGAAGTGAAAATAGAAAATTTATGAAAATATCAAAATGATAGTTGGAAAAACAGATTGTCTTGGGTTACAGTTGATGTAAATAATATATGTTATTTATTTATAACCTATGTGTGTAAATAAAATATAAATTATCATCATATATTTATTCCCCTTTTAGATATATACGGAAACATTCAGGAGGCAGTTATGAACTCAAGTGCACAGATAAATTACACTGAAATAAGCGTAGGAATTCCAGGAAGTAAGAATATTCAAATAATGTCAGCTGTCCTTCCCTCCACAATGAAGGGACGAAAGTGGCCAGATCCTTTATGACACCCTTTTAGATAGTCTCTCTTACTGTAGCTACATCTTTCTCCTTTCCGAGCAACGGGCCAACCAGCTATAGTTCAGGTGACGTTACTGCGCAGAGGGAACTAGACCACTGTCCGTCCAACGTGTCTACATTGACCTTGTCTGACCCGTGTAGCGGTGCAGTGTGTCGTCAACAATGAACCATTTTGGCCTGGGCAGTTTCATACACTGGGTGTAGCATTTAATTATCACAGTGTCTCTCGTTATGCTCACGACTCTCTTTTACTTTTTTATTTTTATTCTCTTCACCACTGATCGGCTCGTTAGCCAATTGGGCGATCTGTCACGTCTCCGCCACCCTGGGCCTGAGAGCCTCTGGTCCCCTGCTAGGGCCTCTGGGCCTTTGACCCTTGGGAGGATCACCTGGTAAGGCCCCCTGGACCATTGAGAAGTTCCCGGGAAAGCCCCGGGAGGATCCATTGGAGGGCCCATAGAAGGGCCCCTAGGAGGGCACCTGGAAGTGCTCTTGGTCCCCTGGAAGGGCCTCTGGGTCATCCTCTGGGCTCATGGGAGGGCCCCTCGGCAACTGGGAGGGCTCCTGGGGACCTGTGAGGGTTACTAGGACCATGAGAAGGTCCCCTAGGTTCTGGGAGGGTTCCTAGGCCCCTGGGCCTCTAGGCGGACCACTAGGAGAGCCCCTGGGTCCTTGGAAAGGCACCTGAGCCCCTGGAAGGGGCTCCTTGGCCCCTGGGAGGGCCTTTTAGAAGGCACATACGGCCCTGAGAGCCTCTGGGCACCTGGGCTGGTCCCTTGGCCCCTGAGAGAGCCCCTAGGCCCCTGGGAGGGCGCTTGGTAAGGCACCATGGATTCTAAAAGTGCCCCTAGTCCCCTGGGAGGGACCCTCGGCCTCTGGGATGGCCTTTGGGCTCATGGAATGGCCTCTAGGCCCTAGGGAGGGCCCCTGAGCCCTTAAGAGGTTTCCGGTGCCCATGGGAGGGCCCCTAGTTCCTACTTGAGGGCCAATAGGCCTTTGGTAGGGCCCCTGGGAGAGCCCCTTTGCCACTGGGCTTTTAAGGGTGGCCCGGGGAGGGTTTCTGGGAGGGGCCCTGAGCTCCTGGGCCCCTGACAGGGTTTCTAGGAGAACCTTTGGGTCCTTGGGCCCCTGGAACGGCACCTGGGCAACTGGGAGGGCCGCTGGGCCCCTGGGAGGGCCCCTGGGCTCCTGAGAGGCCTCTATTGTATATATCCAGCATTCCCTTATGTAACTGCTATTGGTGGACTATAATATAAATCCACCAAATTATAGCCAATAGGAGAAGAGAGCAATCAGTCAGCTCAACACCCCAACTTATGTTTTCCTTTTGGATATCTATTCTCCTTTTCATTGTTCAGGATGGGATGATACTGGAAATACGATGGGTGGTGTATTTATTAACGTCATATCTCCCAGAGTTTTAAATAGTGCAAAGAAATGCCGCCAGGGAACCTCTCAGGGACGACCGCGCCCCAAGGATCTCTCCTTATGGGTGGCAGTGACCCCAAGGGCCTGCCAGTACCTCTCGAAATGCCGCTGGGCCTTTGCCCCCCTGGAAAGGCTCCTGGGAGGGACCGTTGGCCTGAGAGCCTCTGGTCCCCTGCTAGGGCCTCTGGGCCTTTGACCCTTGGGAGGATCACCTGGTAAGGCCCCTGGACCATTGAGAAATCCCCGGGAGGGCCCCGGGAGGATTCATTGGAGGGCCCATAGAAGGTCCCCTAGGAGGGCACCTGGAAATGCTCTTGGTCCCCTGGGAGGGTTCTTGGGCCAATGGGAGGGCCTCTGGGTCATCCTCTGGGCTCATGGGAGGGCCCCTCGGCAACTGGGAGGGCTCCTGGGGACCTGTGAGGGTTAATAGGCCCCTGAGAAGGTCCCTAGGTTCTGGGAGGGTTCCTAGGCCCTGGGCCTCTGGGCGGACCACTAGGAGAGCCCCTGGGTCCTTGGAAAAGCGCCTGAGCCCATGGGAGGGCTCCTTGGCCCCTGGGAGGGCCTTTTAGAAGGAACTTACGGCCCTGAGAGCATCTGAGCACCTGGGCTGGTCCCTTGGCCCCTGAGAGAGTCTCTAGTCCCCTGGGAGGGACCCTCGGCCTCTGGGAAGGCCTTCGGGCTCATGGAATGGCCCCTGGGCCCTAGGAAGGGCCATTGAGCCCTTAAGAGGTCCCCGGTGCCCATGGGAGGGCCCCTAGTTCCAACTTGAGGGCCAATAGGCCTCTGGTAAGACCCCTGAGAGAGCCCCTTTGCCACTGGGCTTTTAAGGGTGGCCCTGGGAGGGCTTCTGGGAGGGGCCTTGAGCTCCTGGGCCCCTCACAGGGTTCCTGGGAGAACCTTTGGGTCCTTGGGCCCCTGGAACGGCACCTGGGCAACTGGGAGGGCCGCTGGGCCCCTGGGAGGGCCCCTGGGCTCCTGAGAGGCCTCTATTGTATATATCCAGCATTCCCTTATGTAACTGCTATTGGTGGACTATAATATAAATCCACCAAATTATAGCCAATAGGAGAAGAGAGCAATCAGTCAGCTCAACACCCCAACTTATGTTTTCCTTTTGGATATCTATTCTCCTTTTCATTGTTCAGGATGGGATGATACTGGAAATACGATGGGTGGTGTATTTATTAACGTCATATCTCCCAGAGTTTTAAATAGTGCAAAGAAATGCCGCCAGGGAACCTCTCAGGGACGACCGCGCCCCAAGGATCTCTCCTTATGGGTGGCAGTGACCCCAAGGGCCTGCCAGTACCTCTCGAAATGCCGCTGGGCCTTTGCCCCCCTGGAAAGGCTCCTGGGAGGGACCGTTGGCCTGAGAGCCTCTGGTCCCCTGCTAGGGCCTCTGGGCCTTTGACCCTTGGGAGGATCACCTGGTAAGGCCCCTGGACCATTGAGAAATCCCCGGGAGGGCCCCGGGAGGATTCATTGGAGGGCCCATAGAAGGTCCCCTAGGAGGGCACCTGGAAATGCTCTTGGTCCCCTGGGAGGGTTCTTGGGCCAATGGGAGGGCCTCTGGGTCATCCTCTGGGCTCATGGGAGGGCCCCTCGGCAACTGGGAGGGCTCCTGGGGACCTGTGAGGGTTAATAGGCCCCTGAGAAGGTCCCTAGGTTCTGGGAGGGTTCCTAGGCCCTGGGCCTCTGGGCGGACCACTAGGAGAGCCCCTGGGTCCTTGGAAAAGCGCCTGAGCCCATGGGAGGGCTCCTTGGCCCCTGGGAGGGCCTTTTAGAAGGAACTTACGGCCCTGAGAGCATCTGAGCACCTGGGCTGGTCCCTTGGCCCCTGAGAGAGTCTCTAGTCCCCTGGGAGGGACCCTCGGCCTCTGGGAAGGCCTTCGGGCTCATGGAATGGCCCCTGGGCCCTAGGAAGGGCCATTGAGCCCTTAAGAGGTCCCCGGTGCCCATGGGAGGGCCCCTAGTTCCAACTTGAGGGCCAATAGGCCTCTGGTAAGACCCCTGAGAGAGCCCCTTTGCCACTGGGCTTTTAAGGGTGGCCCTGGGAGGGCTTCTGGGAGGGGCCTTGAGCTCCTGGGCCCCTCACAGGGTTCCTGGGAGAACCTTTGGGTCCTTGGGCCCCTGGAACGGCACCTGGGCAACTGGGAGGGCCGCTGGGCCCCTGGGAGGGCCCCTGGGCTCCTGAGAGGCCTCTATTGTATGTAACCTGCTATTGGTGGACTAAAATATAAATCCAACAAATTACAGGCAATAGGAGAAGAGAGCCATCAGTCAGCTCAACACCCCAACTTATGTTTTTCTGTGAGCCTATGAGGGTGCAACCAGCCCTGAGAGGTCCCCTAAGGTCGCCGATGCAGCTGGAAGGGCCCCTGTGGGCCCTTTCTCCCCTGGGAGAGCCACAAAGTACGCGACCATCCTTGGGAGGGCCCCTGGGGGTACCGTTGCCCCTGGGTGGTGCCCTGGGAGCGCCACTACCTCTGGGAATTCCCCTGGGGGCGCCGTCGCCTCTAAGTGGGCCCCTGCGGGAGCAGTTTCCCCTAGGACGGCCCCGGGGGGCTCCGTAGCCCTTGGTATAGCATTTGAGGGCGAGGTCGCTCTTGGGATGGTCCCTGGGTGAGCAACCGCCTCTGTAAGGGCCAGTGGGGGGCCACCACCCCTGGTATGGCTACTGGGGGCACTACAACCCTTGACAGCGTCCCTTGTAGGACCCATGATAGCGCCAACACACCTGGGAGAGCCAATGAAGGCGTTGCATATGGTAGGGCAAATGGGAAGGCCCCAGGGTAACTGTCACTGTAGGGACCCTGGGGGCATCTGTTCATGCACAATTAGAACAATGGGATATATGAATATATATACACCGCCCATTGCATTTCCAGTATCATCCCATGAAAAACAATGTAAAGGAGAATAAATATCCAACAGGAAAACATAAATTAGGGTGTTGTGCTGACTGACTGTTCTTCTCTCCTATTGGCTGTTATTTGGTGGGCTTACATTTTATTCCACCAATCACAGTTCAGTAAGGGATTGCTGGACGTATGCAATATATACGTCACCACGACCAAAAGCTATAGGGTTCCTGGGAGGGGGCGCCTCTGTTAGGGCCCCTGGGGCATTGCTGCGTCTAAGGAGAGCCCCTGGGGGCGCTCCTGCCCATACAATCAGCCCCTGGGGGCGTCGTTACCTCTTGACAGGCTTCTCTGGGTGTAACCAGTCCTGAGAGGTCCACTGAGGACGCCGCTGCAGCTGGGAGGGCCCCTGTGGGCGCCACCTCCCCTGGGAGAGCCCCTAAGTACGCCACCATCCTTGGGAGGGCCCCTGGGGGCACCGTTACCCCTGGGTGGTGCCCTGGGAGCGCCGCTACCTCTGGAAATACCCTGGGGGTGCCGTCCCCCCTAAGTGGGCTCCTGCAGACACAGTTTCCCCTGGGAGAGCCTCAGAGGGCTCCGTCGCCCCTGGGATAGCCTTGGCGGCGAGGTCGCCCTTAGGAGGGTCCCTTGGGGCGCAAACGCCTCTGGGAGGGTCTGTGACGGCGCTACCATCATTGGTAAGGCCACTGGAGGAACCACAGCCCCTGACAGGGCCCCTTATAAGTCCCCTGGGAGCGCCAACACCCCTGGAAAAGCCACTAAAGCCGTCGCAGATGGTAGGGCAAATGGGAAGGCCCCAGGTAGAACTGTCACTGTACGGACCCAGAAGGCAGCTGTTCATGCACATTTAGAACAATGGGATATATGAATAGATACACCGCCCATTACATTTCCAGTATCAACGCAAGAAAAACAATGTAAAGGAGAATAAATATCCAACAGGAAAACATAAATTAGGGTGTTGTGCTGACTGACTGTTCTTCTCTCCTATTGGCTGTTATTTGGTGGGCTTACATTTTATTCCACCAATCACAGTTAAGTAAGGTATTGCTAGACGTATGCAATATGTACGTCACCACGACCAAAAGCTATAGGGTTCCTGGGAAAGGGCACCTCTGTTAGGGCCCCTGGGAGGGCCCGTGGGGCATCGCTGCTCCTAAAGAGAGACCCTGGGGCCGCTGCTGCCCATACAAAGAGCCCCTGGGGGCGTCGTTACCCCTTGACAGGCCTCTCAGGGTGTAACCAGTCCTGAGAGGTCCACTGAGGATGCCGCTGCAGCTGGGAGGACCCCTGTGGGCGCCACCTCCCCTGGGAGAGCCACTAAGTACACCACCATCCTTGGGAGGGCCCCTGGGGGCACCATTACCCCTGGGTGGTCCCCTGGGAGCGCCGCTGCCTCTGGGAATTTCCCGGGGAGCGCCGTCGCCCCTAAGTTGGCTCCTGAGGGAGCAGTTTCTCTTGGGAGGGCCCCGCAGGGCTCTGTCGCCCCTGGGATAGTCTTTGGAGCCAAGGTTGCCCTTAGGAGGGTCCCTGGGGGGGCAACGGCCTCTGGGAGGGTCTGTGGGGGCACCATCATCCTTGGTAGGGCCACTGGGGGCACCAGAAGTTCTGACAGGGCCCCTTGTAGGTCCCCTGGGAGCGTCTACACCTCTGGGAGAGCCCCTGAAGCCGTCGCATATGGTAGGGCAAATGGGAAGGCCCCAGGGTGAACTGTCACTGTAGGGACCCTGGGGGCAGCTGTTCATGCACATTTAGAACAATGGGATATATGAATAGATACACCGCCCATTGCATTTCCAGTATCATCGCATGAAAAACAATGTAAAGGAGAATAAATATCCAACAGGAAAACATAAATTAGGGTGTTGTGCTGACTGACTGTTCTTCTCTCCTATTGGCTGTTATTTGGTGGGTTTACATTTTATTCCACCAATCACGGTTAAGTAAGGGATTGCTGGACGTATGCAATATGTACAACACCACGCCCAAAAGCTATAGGGTTCCTGGGAGAGGGCGCATCGCTGCACTTATGGAGAGCCCCTGGGGGCGCTGCTGCAAATACAAAGAGCCCTTGGGGGCGTCGTTGACCCTTGACAGGCCTATCAGGGTGTAACCAGTCCTGAGAGGTCCACTGAGGACGCCGCTGTAGCTAGAAGGGCCCCTGTGGGCGCCACAACCCCTGGGAGAGCTCCTAAGTACATCACCATCCTTGGGAGGGCCCCTGGGGGCACCATTGCACCAGAGGGGTACCCTGGGAACGCCGCTACCTCTCGGAATTCCCCTGGGGGCTCCATCGCCCCTAAGTGGTCTCCTGAGGGTGCAGTTTCTCTTGGGAGGGCCCGGCAGGGCTCTGTCGCCCCTGGGATAGCCTTGGGAACCAAGGGTGCCCTTAGGAGGGTCCCGGGGGCGCAACCGCCTCTGGGAGGGTCTGTGGGGGTGCCATCATCCTTGGTAGGGCCACTGGGGGCACCAGAAGTTCTGACAGGGCCCCTTGCAGTTCCCCTGGCAGCGTCTACACCCCTGGGAGAGCCCCTCAAGCCGTCGCATATGGTAGGGCAAATGGGAAGGCCCCAGGTAGAACTGTCACTGTAGGGACCCTGGGGGCAGCTGTTCATGCTCATTTAGAACAATGGGATATATGAATAGATACACCGCCCATTGCATTTCCAGTATCATCGCAAGAAAAACAATGTAAAGGAGAATAAATATCCAACAGGAAAACATAAATTAGGGTGTTGTGCTGACTGACTGTTCTTCTCTCCTATTGGCTGTTATTTGGTGGGTTTACATTTTATTCCACCAATCACAGTTAAGTAAGGGATTTCTGGACGTATGCAATATGTACGTCACCACGACCAAAAGCTATAGGGTTCCTGGGAGGGGGCGCCTCTGGTAGGGCCCCTGGGATCGCTGCTGCCCATACAAAGAGCCCCTGGGGGCGTCGTTACCCCTTGACAGGCCTCTCAGGGTGTAACCAGTCCTGATAGGTCCACTGAGGATGCCCCTGCAGCTGGGAGATCCCCTGTGGGCGCCACCTCCCCTCGGAGAGCCACTAAAGACGCCACCATCCCTGGGAGGCCCCCTGGGGGCACCGTTACCCCTGGGTGGTGCCCTGGGAGCGCCGCTACCTCTGGAAATTCCCTTGGGGTGCCGTCCCCCCTAAGTGGGCTCCTGCAGACACAGTTTCCCCTGGGAGAGCCTCAGAGGGCTCCGTCGCCCCTGGGATAGCCTTGGCGGCGAGGTCGCTCTTAGGAGGGTCCCTTGGGGCGCAACCGCCTCTGGGAGGGTTTGTGACGGCACCACCATCATTGGTAAGGCCACTGGGGGAACCACAGCCCCTGACAGGGCCCCTTGTAAGTCCCCTGGGAGCGCCAACAACCCTGGAAAAGCCACTAAAGCCGTCGCATATGGTAGGGCAAATGGGAAGGCCCCAGGTAGAACTGTCACTGTAGGGCCACTGGGGGCACCAGAAGTTCTGACAGGGCCCCTTGCAGGTCCCCTGGCAGCGTCTACACCCCTGGGAGAGCCCCTCAAGCCGTCGCATATGGTAGGGCAAATGGGAAGGCCCCAGGTAGAACTGTCACTGTAGGGACCCTGGGGGCAGCTGTTCATGCTCATTTAGAACAATGGGATATATGAATAGATACACCGCCCATTGCATTTCCAGTATCATCGCAAGAAAAACAATGTAAAGGAGAATAAATATCCAACAGGAAAACATAAATTAGGGTGTTGTGCTGACTGACTGTTCTTCTCTCCTATTGGCTGTTATTTGGTGGGTTTACATTTTCTTCCACCAATCACAGTTAAGTAAGGGATTTCTGGACGTATGCAATATGTACGACACCACAACCAAAAGCTATAGGGTTCATGGGAAAGGGCACATCTGTTAGGGCCCCTGGGAGGGCCCCTGGGGCATCGCTGCTCGTAAGGAGAGCCCCTGGGGTCGCTGCTGCCCATACAAAGAGCCCATGGGGGCGTCTTTACCCCTTGACAGGCCTCTCAGGGTGTAACCAGTCCTGAGAGGTCCACTGAGGACGCGGCTGCAGCTGGGAGGGCCTCTGTGGGCGCCACCTCCCCTGGGAGAGCCCCTAAGTACGCCACCATCCTTGGGTTAGCCCTTGGGGGCACCGTTACTCCTGGGTGGTGCCCTGGGAGCGCCGCTACCTCTGGGAATTCCCCTGGGGGCGGCGTCGCCCCGAAGTGGGCTCCTTTGGGCGCAGTTTCCCCAGGGAGGGCCCCAGAGGGCTCCGTCGCCTCTGGGATAGAATTTGGGGGCGAGGTAGCCCTTAGGAGGGTCCTTTGGGGAGCAACCGCCTCTGGGAGGGTCTGTGACGGCGCCACCATCCTTGGTAGGGCCACTGGGGGAACCACAGCCCCTGACAGGGCCCCTTGTAAGTACCCTGGGAGCACCAACTCCCCTCGGAGAGCCCCTGAAGCCGTCGCATATGGTAGGGCAAATGGGAAGGCCCCAGGTAGAACTGTCACTATACGGACCCTGGGGGCAGCTGTTCATGCACATTTAGAACAATGGGATATATGAATAGATACACCGCCCATTGCATTTCCAGTATCATCGCATGAAAAACAATGTAAAGGAGAATAAATATCCAACAGGAAAACATAAATTAGGGTGTTGTGCTGACTGACTGTTCTTCTCTCCTATTGGCTGT